TATAACGAGGATTCCCTTGAGTTATCATCTACTATATAGCGGGGGTACCTTTAGATCATCATATACTGTATAATGGGAATATCCTTGAATCATCATCTGCTATATAACGTGGGTGCCCTTAAATCGTCAGCTGCTATATAACGGAGGTATCCTGGCCTCACCAACTAGTATATAAAGGAGAACCCGCACAACAACGCATGCAATATATTACACCGCTGTTCGTATGTCAAAGTAGGCTATGTATCGGTAGTACCCATCTACCTTCATGAAGTATATAGCTTGGTTACAAATCTTTCAGGGATTCGATAAAGAAGTACGAATAACGGTGCATGAACAACATGAGGAAGTGTGGAGAACTCATCAGCACCTATTAAACGGTTGTAATAATCGGCCCCGCAATGTCATCGCGTAGTAGTCTGTGTCTGTGCTCATGGCGTATGCACTGTAGCTTCTCATAGTCTTCACGGGATATCTAGGAATAGTGACTTTATGCTGATAACAGCTTCAAGAAGACATATTACATGGCGCTGCAAGGCCCATTACTTGATTTTTCCTAGCTCGAATGTGGCTTTAATTAATGTGGAAGCTGGCCTTCTTCACCATTATACAAAATCGTTGTTCTCATTGTTGCTTTATAAATTATCTTCATGACTAGCCAGACTAATCTGCAACCATTTAGCTTTGGACCCCTTAATTGTGTCATGATATTTGATCTTAGTAATTGTTAACAGTCATCTACTATTATTGTGTGATTGGGTATTAAAATAGTATGGTCTGGTAATATTGCTTCTATTCTTAATCTTCTCCATTTATCTAGAAACCTTTCGGAGTCCTTGTACGATCAAAAGTTGTAAGGATCTTCTCAAGTTTTCGACAGGACTCTGCCTTAACTCCTGATAAATCCTGTTACTACTGAGGAATATTTTAGTTAGACAGATTCATAATAGAATTTCTTCAGCTTCCCGCTTCGACTTTTCGTAGTTCCTCAAACAAGGTGCTTCCAGAATTGAGTACTGATTCTTTCGAGGATCTATTAGAAGAAAAGAAACGACGATTTTTTCAAGATTTTGTCAATTTTTCGTCAGATACAGGCTGGGATATTCGTACAAGAATTCATTCTACTTTTTACATAAGTCAGCAAGGACAATTAACACGAAAGTCTTTGTTACATCAAAGACTTTTGAGTATAGGTGTAAGGTCTTTTTTAAAACTACAGCAACACCCAAGCCCACACATATCCTGATAGAATCATAGTTCCAGCCTTGGGAGGCTGTTGAGATTCTGTGATAACACTTTTCCTACGACATTCGTGTGTTCATGTCAAGATACTAGAAGAAATTTAATAGCAATCTTGTCACAACCTTAGGACATTTTGAGGCAAATTATGTCAGAGTTATCAAATCCCGTAGGTGTAACCTTTTTTTTTTATGACTGAGTGACTTTCTCATGAAAAAATATATGAACCTCTAAAGGATCTTTGACTTAGTCGAAAAATGGCGAAAGTGAAAGATGTCTTTGAAGAAAAACTTTGGAAAAATTATATACATACGACAGCAATCGTTAAATGTTTTAGGGAATTCTTAATAGCAAAGAACATAGTTTATGAGATGAATCAGTGTTAACGGTATGATCTAGGGGATCAAATGTAACTAATCAGCATGATCGATAATATGTCATTTTTTCGTATAGCAACTGTAAATAACAAACCGTCTAACTATTCTATAATATTTATAACAGTATCATAGTATCATTCACCAAGATTATCTATACGATGTTCAATGGCAATGATTTCCCTTGTTTTAGTCTGACTGGTAAATTTTCACAAAACTAAGTATCTATTAGCTGTACATTTTCAATACTCACTAGTAGACTTTATTGTATTCATTATAAAAGAAAACGTTCATCTTCTATTCGTGAAGATTTAAGTTTGTATGAATTGATCAATGAAACAGCTATATAGTTTGATAGAGTTATACTTATTGAAGATTTAGCAACTTTAGCCATAACAATAGAATTTTAGTTACGTGATGGTTCTTCGTGCAACTCTTTTGAGTAGTTTATATCAAGTAATTCTCATCACTATTACTATTGGATAGAAGTCTAGATAAGAAGCATTAAAAAATCAACAATAAATTATAAGTGACTAGAATCGTCCTTTTCTAGGAGACGTCATTTTTTTCGATATTTTTTGACTTCACTATTTACTTTTCGACATGTTCCCATCAGACTGGATACTTACTGATTCTCTAACGGATTCAGAATGGAAACACTCAAGATTGTTACTAGATAAGCAAAGTAAGAACAAATTGATGTATAAATATTTTTGTTACCTGAATAGACGGAAACGCAGTATTTAAACAAACACAAGCCCACAAAGCATGAATCATGTCTACGTAGGTTACAGAAATTATTTGAAAGACATGACTCTCATATACAAAACAAAGAATATAATAAGATTAAAATAATACCAATTGTAAAACGAAACCCAATGAAGAGACAATGTAGTGTGATCTCAATTGAAATAAAAGATTATCGTGATTTTGTTAAATTGTAAATGAACAAAACGAGTATCCAACGACCGCAATATGTCCCATGCACGACCATTACACGCGAACATCAAAGAGCTACCTTTCACTCACGACTTTCTCTATGAAAGCTCTGAAGAAATATGAGAAATAATCTCTGTATTCCTTAGGATTTATGTAAACTACCTCTAAACAATTCGTGATGAACTACCAGAAGCTCACTTTAATAGTTGATAGACAGGAACGAGTACCAACATTAAGTAGTATATGACCATTTTTGGGCATCTCTACAATAATCGTCACGAATGTTAATGAATACGCACTTTCTATCACCATTGAAAGTTTATCGATATCCCAGTTATATAGTAGCAGATAACCGATAGGTAACGAGTTATATAGTAGTCCTTGAACTATTGAAACCTTTCCCTCTTATATAGCAACTGATGGCTTATGGATAGCACCGCTATATCGTAGTGAATGACATATGAATACGCTCTTTACATAGTATCACGTATAGATAGCTCCGATATACTACCTATGGAAAGTTATGGGTACTTTTATGGATGTTTATTGAGTTTTATAAATTTCTAAAAAAAGTTTTATTTCATAGGAAAACGTATACCTTAACTTTAAAAAGTTTAAAGTTACTGTAAAGTGTGGTCACTTTCATTTTAAAAGTTAAAGTTTAAAGTGCACTACTTTAACTTTAAACTTAAAGAAAAGTTAAAGTGCCACCTCTACTTCCACTATAGTCCAATTGTACACAAACTGTGCTGCAGCTGTAGTCTGGATAGGTTCCAGCTATACTCCAACTGTACTCCAATTTTTTTTTGGACTAGAGTGAGTCTCGCTATTTCCCCCTTGGTTCTACATCTAAATCCTAGATGTGTTAAAAATTTCCATATTATTAATTTCAAGAATGAGCAGAGATAATTGATCGATAGATAACTAGTGAATAAACTGCACCATCTGTATTTCAATGCTTTGGGATAAATAGAAATTTAATATGTACAATTAGGATAATGAAGATGCAGTCAATATCAGCTTGAATAAAGCGTTATATGGGCACATGTATATTATCTTTCTAAGATATAGTACATTAATACATTCTGGATAGATTTACAAAACAAATGATAAATTGAGCAAATTTATGTAATACTACATCAAATTTATCTCATCATTATGTGAAAAAATTAAGCCTAAAACAGTACTTTTGTATACTTACGAGGGAACATATTTGAGTGTATCCACTGAGAAAAAATTTAAAAGCATCCTATTCGATAGAGACCTTGATGAATATCTCGAATATCAATATCTTAGTTGCCCTCGTTTTGCTTTTGAAAAAATAGAAGTTTCAAACTTTTTCATTTCTAGGTTTTTTTCTGATAGTGAATGTATCACACTATTCATCACTTTTGTCATGTACTCAAGAGCGATCAGTTTTTTTTAGAAGGAAACTAAAATATGATGAAGAATCTGTATGCAGAAGTCATCTCTTTGCCACAAGTAAGGGTACTATGACTTTGTTTCCCATCTAGATATTTCTATACTATATGGCAGCATGTCTAAGAGTTTATCAGAGGGCAGTTTTCAAAGGAAGAGTCAGAACATGTCAGAAGTCGTTTTCAAACGCTATCCAAAGTAGTATGAACTCGTCTTTTGATTAGCTTTGCTGTGAAAAATTTTATAAATTCTGGAAGGGAATAGCGACTATCTGACAGCTTCACATAAATCCGACACTGCAACTGTAATACTAAATTACTGAAAATGACAAACATTCGATCAAGTGAACACCCAGATGAAAAACATAGTCATGATACCCTTACTTGTGACAAAGAGATGACTTATGTATACAGATTTTTCTTCATACTATAGTTTCCTTCTAAAAAAACTGATCGCTCTTGAGTATATGACAAAAGTGATGAATGGTGTGATACATTCACTATCAGAAAAAAAATCTAGAAATGAAAAAGTTTGAAACTTCTATTTTCTCAAAAGCAAAACGAGGGCAACTAAGATATTGATATTCGAGATATTCATCAAGGTCTCTATCGAATAGGATGCTTTTAAATTTTTTCTCAGTGGATACACTCAAATATGTTCCCTCGTTAGTCTAGCAGGATGTTAGAGCTAAATCCCAGGTAGAGCTGTTCTATCGATTACTAAAGACGACACATTATAGTATATATTTCCATAATAAAACATTCAATATTTACTGTTTTATAAAATTTTAAACATCATGAACAGAACTTTTGGTATGCTCTAAATGTTATCATAATTAAAATGATATAGATTACCATCATAATAAACTGAATAATTTGCAGCAATAGTATTATCATGAGCTTGTATAAATCTGAAATTCCATACTTTATTAGAATATTCAACATAAATATTATTTGTTTGATTTAAGTCACTTAACATAATACGAGCAACATGAAGAATATAATCATCGATTGCATTATGTGGAATATTTATTCATACATTTGCAAGTTTATTAATTGAATTAGCAACAAATGAAATTATTTCCCATGGTTTATGATGCAAGCCTCGATAATATGGCCAATTTATAGGTGTTGTCTGATTCCAATTTGTTTCAGCATTTCCATTTGTACTTATCCAATCCGTAAAACATATTAAACTAAAACGTGATAAATGTGCTAATAACAAATTAGTTATATTTGATTTTGATGTTAAATCATGACCCGATTGTAATAAAACTATATCTTGTAAACCATAACCATTTGTATTACGAAAACTAAGCATCAGACCAATTGTATTTTGTATAATATTGATAACAGCTGTTAGCGTACTTGTGAAAGCATCATATGATTGATTAGTAATATATGAATGTTGATCAAAGTCTGTTGAAATCTGCGCATTACCTTTTGCATGTAAAACATATGTTCCACCAAAATCACCACTTTCTTCAGCTACTACTGTTCCAATATCACCGATTGACCATTCAGTGATAGGATCAAATGTTGTATTACCATCCAAGTGTTTATCTAGAGTACCCTATTGTTGACTAAGACTCCAATCAGCTACACCAGGCATGTTAGCACCATTAGCAGTTAATGTATTCACATCTGTTATTAAAATAATTATTAACCAAATCATTCTTTAATTATCTTAAACAAAAGTTTCAAAATATTTTATTAGTTCAACATCTTATGAATTTAAATTGAACATTTATATTTCATTTCATATAAATATCAATATATAAATCAAAGTATTAAGCATCATTCTAAAGTAACTTTTACTTCAATGTAGAAAGCTTCAAAAGTATGATCGAATGTTAACAGAACGTTTATGAAGGATTAGACTAAGTGTAGACTATACCTTCTGAAATAACACAATGAAACTTTGCCACTATCTTACATTATATTTTACTCTATTATGAAAATAAAATGAACAACATAAAAAGCTTCTATTTAACTCTTTAGGTCCGGGAGACGTAAATTTGCGTCCTACAATTTGAAAGTATAAAAACATTTAAGTAATGAAGAGATACCACTTATGAATGGATATTATAAGACGTGATGTTGTGTGCTATAACTCGTTTCAAGAGGTACGTACATTGAAACCAGTTTAACTAATATAGGTCATCGTAGATCTTAAGATAAACAATGATGTTGAGTTTTGAAAAATAATCTCCGACTGAAAGGGTTAATTAAATTTTAATGACCAGCAATTGCTCTAATTTGAGAAAGTGCGAAGTAGGACGTGGGCAAAGAAATGTACGCAGAGGATAGAATTTAAGAATTCAATGTTATAAAAACATTTATTATGATAAAAAGATCAAACACATCACTAAAAGTTTAAATTAGTACGGATATAAACGGAAACAGAAGAAAAAAGCAATAAAAAATACTGGTATTTATTAGTGTATGTATTTGCAAACGATGTGAATGTACTGTTTGTGACAGCATACCGATCCCAGAACCGTGAACAAGTAGGATAATAATAACGGTTTCTCATCTGTGGATTGATCTCAATAACGAAGTCATTATCGATCGAGTTTTGATAAACATTCCAGTTGGCTGGACTTCCACTATAATTAGGATTCGAGTTATAGATGAAATGGGCCCAATATAACATCATATTTGTAGAGAGTTGTTGGTCCATTGCATTGAAAGTGTAATTGCGTAAAAAATAAGGAAGATATGATGGAAAGAGCATGGGAAGTTCGGCAGCATGAGCTACACCGGAGCAAGATGGTGTAGCAGATAGGAGATGATTATATGTATATAAATAAGAAGGTATTGCATAACTAGAAAAACTCGAAGCAATACGTCTAGATCCACAATTCATCCAAGAGTTACTGTATACTATATTTAGATACGTTAATGGATTATTATAGGCAGATATGGGTCCATAGATTGAAGGAATCTCATCAATAATGGTGGCATTGTATATTGTCTTGAAGTAGGCTTGAACATGTGCGCTGTTGGCGGTGCCATTAAAGATCGGACATGTGATCATAGTTGTCTCGTTCGCCGTGGTTCCGATCAGTAGAGGAACTTTTTGGAAGTTTCCTCTAGCATAGTAATTTTCCATGATATCGTTCAGGACGTAACAGTCGATAACTGGAATACCAGATATTCCATTCATATCTTTAGACATCACAACAAGCTGGACAGCCAGAATTTGATCTACGGTTAGATTGCGCAGACATTGCACGGTAGTACAATTTGTATTAGCTCGCAAAACGTTGCCGGTCTTGTTGATGGCTACCTGCAAAGGATCCACTAAATTGGGCCATATAGTACCACTTCCAACATGGGCTCTTTGAAACGTGCCACTGGAAACCAGTGAGGATGTGAGCAAAATTGCTGTGCTTATACCGCCAGCACTCTCACCACCGACGGTAATTTGCTCAGGATTGCCACCGAAACCAGCAATATTCTTCTTTATCCAGTCTAATGCCATTATTTGATCTAATATGCCATAGTTACCAGTGGTGCTTCTGTTGTCGATACCTGATCTTTCGGCAAACAATCCTTCATCTGCGAGAAAACCGAACAGGCCAAGTCGATAGTTGATCGTAACGATGACTATAGGAACAGAATTGATAATGCTTGTGCTAACGAACGGAGTAGCATTATACTGCATAGAAGAACCGGCATTAAAACCGCCTCCATGAATCCAAACATATACAGGTAAATTATTTGCATTTTCCGGAGCGTATACGTTTAAGATGAGACAAGCTTCGGTACGTGGGAAGCCAAAGTCATACACCTGAAGACAAGAATTGGAATTGTATGCTTCTCTAGTAACATTGGATGTGGCAAGAGCTCGAGGGGGCATCCACCTAAGGTTTCCAATAGGTTGTTGAGCATAAGGTATGCCAAACCAATAATTCACATTCGTACTATTTATTGTTATTTGACGGCCAATATAAACACCTTGTTGTGTTTGAGCCATCGGTGAAATGTTGGTCGCTTTGGTGACTGGAATAATCAGTAATACCAACAGTACCACTGCTAGAGCTTCTATCATGATCTTGCGTGGGGTTACCATTCTTCTATATAAATTTATATGATTTACTCGTATTCTTGTTTGTATACTCTCGGGTGATACTGGTATAAATAGGGATAGGATACTGCGAAAATACTCTCTCACTTCTACCTTTGTGTTAGTCACAAAGCTGGGCAAGTATGGACTTGTTTGAGTGTGAGTGCGAGTGCGAGTGCGAGTACGAGTGCGAGTACGAGTGCGAGTGCGAGCCCGCGCAATATATTACAGACGTTGAAAATGGTTGGGACAGAACTGGGAGTATTTTCGCCGTTCTTCCACTATGTTTATTTAGATATCATCAAAGAGAAAGTAAAAAATAATATGAATACAAGGGTGTTAACCAACACATGATATCCCAATAAGATCTTTCTCAAGTCAGAATGCAGTACCCATCTTTTGAGGAAATATAGTAGTTTGTTACCACTTATAAAGCAATATTGATAGCTTACTGTCATCTTTCAATAAAAGCTCAAACAGCAGAAAAGAAAAAGAACATGGGTAAAAGCAGGTATTTACTTATCAAATACTACATTCCTAGCATCCAGTCGACATTTGCACACCGGACGACAATAACAGAGAACGCAAAAAATAATGAATCATTGCAATCAACAGAATAAGCAAAATTACAACCATAGACTATTCGTTTTTACCTTGCAAGCACTCCATGTTGCATCAGTTATTCTTTTCTTTGTTATTTATAGTTCGTTTAGACGTATTTTTTCACACTAGGACTCAAATATTCAATAAATTTTTGAAATTCCACAATGGCTTACAAAAGTATTATGATGCTAGGGTGAGGGGTGAGATGAGTCTAGCAACCATTATCACGATTTCATCCCGGCTACAGAAACCATCAGATGGCTTTAACTTCATATACGTTTTGAATGTTTTGGAGATCGATTAACGGAATGAATGTGAATCTGAAATATATATTCAGAAAAATAAATTAGAATTGCTAATAGTGTCAATGAAAATTGTTATATTTGTATTAGATGTTTATTTATTGAGGGTGAATCTTGGTATGCCAAGATCCAGATTTCGTGTTCCCCCAAAAGAACACTCATCAGTTGATTTTGACTCTTAGTCGTATTTGTTTTAAATGATTGCGAAGAATCACAAACGAAATGCATATATCTATAAAGAAATCTAACACGAAGTTAGAAAGCAATAGATATCAATTTGAATGACAGTATGAATCTCGAAAGTATAAATGAATTCATCCTCAGCTATCGAGATGCGATAGGAGCCACCTGTGATCAATCTTTCCGAGTTCACCCGCAGCTATTGCGCAGTAGTGAGAACCGTCTGTATAAAGATTCCACCTTCACCTTCAGTAAGAGAAATATCCTATGTGTCAAGATTTCCGTGTTACCCTCAGCAGTGCAGATTCCTTGTAGTAGTGATCAAGATAATGGTCTTACTTCCTCAAGTATATCGATATGTTCGAGAAAAATGTTTATTCAATCTTGACACTGTCTGTATATTTAAGGAAGTGATTATGTGCACCCAAACAGTTATAAGAAACTATTTAGCAAAAATTAAGTTATATCAGTCTTATATGCACTTGATTATTAACATATATGAAATTCATTAACTTAATAGTAATTTTACTTTATTAATTTTTTGTTATATTCAAAAAAATGTACAAATCAATTGTTACAATTACATAAATATTTGAAAAATTTAGTTTAAATAAATATCAACCAATTTAGAAACATTTCTAGTACTTCCTCTTCTGGGCTTTGAAGGAAATGGTTGTATTATTTTTAATTATTACATTTAGCGAAAATGATATTATATCAGCGTTTTTCTTCACTTTTAATTTTACGTTTTCTTTCTATTGACTAGTTATAAAACAAAAGATACTATTTTTTCATAATTAATTGGTTTACGAATTGGAAAATTAAAAAACATAAAAGTCTAATCAGCATTTAGTCTAGGATAATACTCTTCATTAGAATACGATAAATAATTTTCTCTTCCATGCTCCCTGTGCTGCTGCTTGTTAACACTTAAAGATCAAATGAACTTAGTTAATGTAGTCTCATTTATAGTGCACGCATCTACTAGTCTGATTGTGTTTACTCTTGATTTAATACTAACCAGTGAATAAGTAGTTCATTGCTACTCTTCAATCAGAAAAATGGAACAATGTTAAAAAAACAAAGTGAGTGTTGGTGATTCCTACTGTTTCCACAACATCTTGTTTCATTGTAGATTCATATAGACATTGGTGATTTCAGGATTACCTACAGATGATTTTTCAAACAAGTAATATGGAAAACATGTTTCCTTCAGAATGAGTAAGATCGTAGTATTATCAATGATCATATGCCTTTTTTTAATTTTGTAGGTATATTCGATTGGTGATGTAAAACATATTTCAATGCATTATTGATTTGTAGTGATCGAATAAAAAAAAAATCTGTTTGCATTGAAATTAGTCGATAAGATTTTTACTCGTAAAGAACTTGTTGAACTTGATCCAACAACAAAAAAAAAGAACTTATGGAACATCCAAGTTATGCATTTATAAAAGGTATGTCTTACGAGGGAACCGTTCCAACTGATAAATCGCTTTTTTAATGAAAGCTGGTGGGTTATAGGTTATCGACTATGCTGATTTCGAATATGAGTATGAGGAGTGCCCTTAGGCCTTTATAGGATGGTTTTCTAGAAAACCAGATCTCTAGAAAACCAACTTTAAACTAAATTTTTGTTTTTGACCTGCTCAGGTTATAAAGCACATCAAGTTGTCTATTAATCGATATTTTCTTTTGTTTCAAATAGATTTTACGATGACATACAGTCAATGGAATTCACATAGTAGATGCATATTACTAGCATTTCACTGTACAAATAGGAAAGTTTAATGTTGTTTATTCAAGACAATCCATGCAAAGCAGGAAAAACTATTGATTTATAGGCAACTCAATGTGCTCTATAATCTGAGCAGATCAAAAACAAAAATTTCATTTAAATAGGTTTTCTGAAGACCTGGTTTTCCAGAAACCCACCCTATGAAGGCCTAAGGGCACTCCTCATACTCATATTCGGAATCAGCATAGTCGATAACCTATAACCCACCAGCTTTCATTAAAAAAGCGATTTATCAGTTGGAACGGTTCCCTCGTTAGTTCTTTGAATTAAAGAATCGAAATTGTTTCTCAAGAAGCGAGAAAATGCCTTTTAGCTACTACTCTAGTTTAACAACACTTTTTTGTATCAAGTTTAATTCGAGAAGCGGTTAGATGCAAGTTCAAATTAACAACACAACAACTCGAAGTCGAATAGCCAAACATTCATGAAGTAGTGTTAAATAAACGAGGAAATTGGAAGAAAAGTATACCAATCTCCACTGCACGTACCTAACGGATAGCAACTCATAAAAAAAATACATTATGACATTAAGTCGGTGGATGTGAACTCACACACATGACACTGTTCATTCATTTCGTTGCTATTGAATAAACAAGAATCGGAAATTATATGCCAAGAATGAACGAAAAAAAAGTTGATGCAAGAAAGAAATAAAAATCAAATTAAAAAGAGATCAAAATGATAATATTTTAATCTGATTTTTCAGTAATAAAAACATATATCATTTGATTTTAACATTGATTGATCTATTTTGAATCAGTTAACATCAGTAAATTAAAGTGAATTTCTAATGCTTATCTACTATTGATTCAACTTTAATAATCAATTAAAAGAGATAGAAAACTATTGATCTCAAATGAAATTGATTTGTAAGACGATCCCCTCCTCCTCTTTCTCGACTCAAAATTTTCTGCCTTTATATGTCAAAAATGAATCACTCTTTCCGTTTTTCTTCAAATCCAATTTTCATACAAGAACTTGAAGTTTTCTCTTTCACGGCTCAATTGATCCGATTCGAAGTTTTTTCCTTTTTAATAAAAACCTAGATCGGATCGAGATGTCCTTTTTTTTTCTTTCTAGATAATATTCTCCCTATGAAATTTGACAATCTTTCAATAGTTAGCACAATTGAAAAAAAACACGTTCTCTGGTAGTGCTTTCGGTATTTGCTCTCTTCTGAATACTAGGAACGATTGACTTTTGCTACCCTATATTTCCCTGAAGAAAGCATTTGATGATTTTGATTCTATGATAACTTTTGCTTGGCTGATGGAGATCTATCTGTTCTACAAGTTGCCTAATTTTTCGTTGAACCATTTTGGAGAATCTCCGAAAAGAAGGATAGAGAGACTCTCGGTATGTAAGATAGTCTTAAAAAATTTTCCATTTGTCTTGATAATGCAGAAATCGATACCGAAGAATGTTCGCAAGAATTGTCTATCTTGGTGACGAACGATAGAAAAAATGAAATATGAATTCATTATTTAATATCTATAGTTCGAAATTCTGTCAGCGTGTATTTGAATTAAAAATATACTAGTCCTTTTTTTTTTCTTTTTGTATTGAAAAAGGATAAAAAGATCTAAATATTCTTTCACTTAAAATAAATAAATTTTTACAAAAAATGAAATATTGAAAAATTTTCAACATTTTCTATATTTTCAATTTTGCTATTCTCTTACATTTCGAGATTTCGTATGTTCATCATATTGCCTCTTTCCTCTTAGATGTTGATTTTTCATAGGCATGTACAAAAATCATTCAAAAAAGAATTCAAATATTGTGATAAATTCGCCAGTCATACATTCATCGATGTATTCACTCGTGCCCGATATCATCATTGCCGTCTTTTTATATATTTTGAATGCACATAAAAACATCATTGCTCGCGTATTATTCGTCAACCATTCTTAGCTCCTTTTCCCCATTGCTCTTCTCTCTTCTCTATGCTTTTGTCAAGTTTCTTCCATCAATAGAAGAAATGATAACTCACAAAAGTTTGACAAGTATTAAGTATAGTGGAACGAAAATTGTTTCTTTTTTTTTAAGTATTATTTAGTTTAATGCAATTAAAATTTTTTTAGAAAGAAAAATCATAAATAGTTGAATAATTGTATTATAACTCTTTGAGTATATTTTCAATCCTACTTTCGTATTTATGGAAAAGTACCTTGGAGAAGACTAAAATTCTGTATTTCTACATCCTTGAAGATACTCTTTCATCAATGAATTTCATTAGAGAAACCATACGATGAGCCATTCATACCTACAGGCTAGTAGTCGAACTATTCTATTCGATAGAACAAAAGACGAGAACATTATGCATTGGATTTTCTTTTTTTCTTTTTTCCTCTCTCTCTTTTTCTTTCCTGTGTATATGTTCGTTCGTTCGTCAATTATTTTAAACAAGTTGTCCATTGTAATAAGGATCATATTTCAGCGAATATTACAGGTACAAACAATCTTTATTTTTTTAGAAATGCCTGAAATAGGTCAATGCACTCATAACATGTGATGATGAAATAAAAGAATTATCTAAGTGTCACTGTTGTTTATGTCTTATTTGTCTCTATCATTTGAATATACATGTTGAAATAACAAAACAAAATAATAATCGACGATTAGATAATCTTCGTAATGAATTAAATACAGTTGTTAATACATTAAAACTAATTGTTGAAGAAAAATTATTAACTATTGAATATGAACAAAATTTGATTGAACAAGCAAAAAAGTTTCTTGATATACTCAGTAGTTCAATTGATGAATTACAAAATATTTTCGAAAAAATTAATCAAACAATAGCATTAAATCGTTTAGGTAAAAACTAAATTAAATAATCGTTTTTTTTGGATATCTTTCTTTTCTTTGTTTATAAAAGAAGGAATCATGCTGAAAGTAGAACCATCATTATCACAAACTAAATAATGTTCTCGTGTTTCTGATTATAATAAGGAAAACATGAATTCTAATGGTAAGATGAAATCTCTCTTTAACATATTTCTTTTTTCATTTCATTATATTTATTTCGATCGAACTATAGGTATTGGTGTCGAATCAGAGAGCTAATAGAACTTATTAATCAGCATTTGAACTCATATTGACACTAGAAAGATTTCTTAGTAAAAGTATCTGCAGTTAATGAGGCAAGTTTTGACTGTTCTACAGAGTTTTCGATCTGGAAATGTCTATAGACATGTGTTTGATGACCTTCGAAATAAAATTGACTTATTTACTATTGAATAAATACTGAAAGATGGCTCGAAAATTCAATCAATTGCTTCATTGACACGGTCCTCTTCGATTTTTTTCTATTCTTGACAAGTTTTTATTGTTGATCTAATATGAGTTCAAATGGTGGAGATCAGTTCATGTAGTTCTTTCATAGGATAAATAAAGACTTCAAAATATAAGTTTTTTTTTGTATGTTTAGATGAAGCAGAATAATTGAAGATCTCAAAAGGTAAATTAAATTTTCTTTAATTTCAAAAAAGAAAAACAAACATGATTGTGTTAAGATAATGAATATTCAACGGATATCGATCACCATTTTGATGGTACTGTTTCATTGGAGTAAGTTTCTATTTTTATCAAAAAAAAAGGGTGGGGTGGGTGTGGGTGTCAATATGAAACAGAGGAAGACACCCACACCCACACCCACACCCACACCCACACCCACACCCACGCCCAC